TTTGCATGGACACGGCTGATCATGACAAGTTCCTGTGTTCTCGTGATGAGACCAGTGCTCCTCCTGAGTTCTACGAACAATACGTTCAGGAGATTCTTGCCGCCGTCCGTCATAACGCCAAGATGGAGTTCAATGGCATCTGGAAGACTAACCATGAGGTGAAGTATCCTGATGGATCGAGGTATATTCGTAAGACTGATGCAACCATCTTATTGTCGAAGAAGATCAACGACATGCAGTCTTATATCCTTGGCGTCCTCGAGGAACATGATCCTGAGAATGATTGGATGGTTCGTGCTGTTCTCAGACGTTGTGTGCCGAGGTTGCTTCTTGTTCATTGTGGTTTGGATAAGATTGTCGAGAACACTCCCGAGGCTTATCTCAATGCTATGGTTGCTACTTGGATTGCTGACGAGTTTGTCTACTCTAATGGTCTACAGACTAGTGAGTTTGCCTTCTTCCAGTTCATGCGTTCACTTGAGGAAAAGTCCGAAGGTGAAGTTACCCCTTGCACTATGTAATTTATTCGAACTTTCTATACAGTAGCTATATAAGGCACCATAGATCGGTATCTGCCGAATGTTTTTCTTAACGCTACAAAGAGTTTCTCATCCCGTATGTCTTAACGGGTATACTATCAGCTAAAGCTCGCTTGTATAGTGTGTTACTTAACTCTACCGATCTGACAAGTCTGGTTTCAATGTTGCGTTGAGTCCTTAGTTTGCATGAGCCTGCTTCTCTGATAACTCTAGTAAATGCATACGTTCTGTGTCGCCGTTGTATGCCAGTACGTACTCTACCCCCTGGTCGTACGAGTCGGACTGACTCGACTCGTCATTGCTTTAGAGTGGGGACGTTTGTGAGCATGTTTTTTGATAGATCGTTCAGTGGAGCAGCTCTTTAGCGGACGGGATAGACCTTGCCGTTTACCATCTCCATGAAACGCAAATTACTTGCGTGGCAAATTGATGATTTATCCCTATGACATGTATAATTAAGGGTGGCATAACGGCCCCAATTGATAACTGAGTGTCTTTTGTCATTCCAGACTGATGGCTTGACCTCAGGCCGCATGATACAAGATGGCATAGCGGCCCCAATTGATAACTGAATGTCTTTTGTCATTCCAGACTGATGGCTTGACCTCAGGTCGCATGATACAAGATGGCATAGCGGCCCTAATTGATAACTGAATGTCTTTTGTCATCCCAGACTGATGGCTTGACCTCAGGCCGCATGATACAAGATGGCATAGCGGCCCCGTTTGATAACTGAATGTCTTTTGTCATCCCAGACTGATGGCTTGACCTCAGGCCGCATGATACAAGATGGCATAGCGGCCCCAATTGATAACTGAATGTCTTTTATCATCCCAGACTGATGGCTTGACCTCAGGCCGCATGATACAAGATGGCATAGCGGCCCCAATTGATAACTGAATGTCTTTTGTCATTCCAGACTGATGGCTTGACCAAGGCCGCAAATGATACAAGGTGGCATAGCGACCCCAATTGATAACTGAATGCCTTCTTTCATTCCAGACTGATGGCTTGACCAGGGCCGCAAATGATACAAGGTGGCATAGCGACCCCAATTGATAACTGAATGCCTTCTTTCATTCCGTATTGATGGCTTGACCAAGGCCGCAAGTGATACAAGGTGGCATAGCGACCCCAATTGATAACTGAATGCCTTCTTTCATTCCATATTGATGACTATCGATGAGTAATCGATTGTGTTGCGAACATCAAGCTATACAAAAGTCGTAAAGAGGGGCTGTTTGTTATCTAAAAATTGGCGGCATAGCCGAAATCGCACTAAGTGATCTCTCAGATTCATAGCGGTTAGTATTGCTAACTACCATATCCTCAGGTTCAGGCCCTGGACTCCGGGAGCCACGCCACTCCAACGCAACTCAAACATTTGAAGGCCACCAGCTGCTATTACTAAAGGTGTGTGCAGTGCGCTAGTCGATGGTTTGTGTGTCGGACACACTGTGCCTAGTAAGCTAGGCTGATGGTCAGCGGACGGAGATACCTAAGAGTCGGAGGGAATACTCTTGATGCATATCTAAACGCTATGGTTGCCATTCGGATTGTTGACGAGGTTATCTATCCCAACGATTCAATGACTCGCGAGCTCGCCTTTTCCCGGCTCATGTGTGACTCGAGGGGAAAGTATGAGGTGAGGTGTTCTCTTCTACTATGTGATTCATAAATATTTCCTATACTATAGCTATGTAAGGCATGGTACATCGGTAGTTGGCAATACTCTTTTACAATACAATCGTAGGGCTACTCATCTTACCTTGTTTTGAAGAATGATATCAATTGCTCTGCCGAAATTCCGAGTTTTATGAAGACTGTCAACTCATCTGTCCAATCTGATCAGTGCATTTTCAGTGCCGTGTTTTAGCGGGTGACGGTATAGGTCTCACGGTGGTTGGCATTTCCTTGGTAAGTTCTCTTCGTTGTAATTATTCGAAATGGCCGATGGTGAACTCAAACCCATGCACGTAACCGTCCGCCGTGAGCTGCTCACGGTGAGTATTGGCTTTGTAACAACGGTCGTGGTCGGTTTTGGATCCTACCTGGATCATGTGACCGTGCTAAGCAAATCTCTGATAACTATTCCCGAGATGTGGCGGT